ACAGAAACCACACCTGGACTACAGAAACCACACCTGGACTACAGAAAACACACCTGGACTACAGAAACTGCACCTGGATTACAGAAACCACACCTGGACTACAGAAACTGCACCTGGATTACAGAAACCACACCTGGACCTGTCATGTCTGTTTCTACTTCCTGTCCTCTCAGACCCAGCTGGTTGAAGCTCGTCCTGGTCCTGGTTCTTCTGGAGGTTTTCTTCCCACTGTCTCCTCTGTTCTTGCTCAGGATGAGAGGCTGGGATGACGTGAAGGTTCAACACGACCTGCTGCTTCCTCAGACACTGAACTTTTACTGACCGTCTTTTAGAACGTGTGCGGGTGTTCCTGTTCACACCTGAGACGACCCACGTTGGGACTTGGAGCTACAGAAATAAACTTGAACTGAATTGAAAACTGAATTCTGGTCGAGGTAAACTGGGACTCCATTGATCCTTCTGGGTCTCAGGAGGTCTCAGTTAGAAGGTCTCAGGTCCACTGAGACCCCCTCGGGTCAGACTGAAGGGGAAAAAGTGAGGTTTGTCTGTGAGGTGGAACCAGGAACTAGGACCTGCAGCCCAACAAGTGGAATGTTAAAAAAGGTCTCAGTGAACCTTCAGGACCAGAACTACGAGCTCACCCTGACCCAACCGAACCGACTCAAAACATTTAGCGTCACCATGACGACGCCAGCATGCACGTACCGATGCTTTCCAGGAAGTGATGACTTGCTCTGAGCTTCTTGATCTCCTTCCCCTCCTTGAACCTTGAAGGATACAGAAGCTTATCGACTGAGCTGATGCCCGTCAGAGCCAGGAAGTCAGAGATGTTCGTCACGAGCTGTTGATTCTCCTTCACAGAGAACCGCCCACGACGCACACGCACACCTGCAGGAGGATCCAGAGGCAGAGCACCAAGAAGTTACCATCCAAATACTGTCTGAAGTATTTCAGGACCAGTACCTGGCTGTCTGAAGTGTTTCAGTACCAGTACCTGGCTGTCTGAAGTATTCAGTACCAGTACCTGGCTGTCTGAAGTATTTCAGGACCAGTACTTGGCTGTCTGAAGTATTTCAGGACCAGTACCTGGCTGTCTGAAGTATTTCAGGACCAGTACCTGGCTGTCTGAAGTATTCAGTACCAGTACCTGGCTGTCTGAAGTATTCAGTACCAGTACTTGGCTGTCTGAAGTATTTCAGGACCAGTACCTGGCTGTCTGAAGTATTTCAGGACCAGTACCTGGCTGTCTGAAGTATTCAGTACGAGTACCTGGCTGTCTGAAGTATTCAGTACCAGTACCTGGCTGTCTGAAGTATTCAGTACCAGTACCTGGCTGTCTGAAATATTTCAGTACCAGTACCTGGCTGTCTGAAGTATTTCAGTACCAGTACCTGGCTGTCTGAAGTATTCAGTACCAGTACCTG